AGAAGTTGGCAGCATGAGCTTTCCTAGACTAAAGTCTACTTCCTCAGAGGCATTTACAGTGGGCCCTTGGTATCTGCTGGAGCTTGGTTCCAGGATCCCCCAATGGAAATCAAAATCTAATCAATTCAGGTCATTTTGCAGTTTGATCCTGTCCTTGGGAGTATTAGCCACTCCTCCTAATTTGATGTCATCTGCAAATGTTGTTGTTGTTGTGTGCCTACAAGTCATTCTCCACTTATGGCGATCCTAAGGTGGTCCTATGGCCATGGCAAAAACCTTCTCTGAAATACCATAACTTGCCAAGAAAATCCTTACGATAAGTTTATTGTAGAGGGCTTTCTTGGCACGTTTCTTTAAAGAGAGTTTTTGGCATGGCCATCTTCTGCGGCTGAGAGACTGTGACTTGAACCCAAGGTCAGCCAGTGTTTTTCCATGGCTGAGCCAGGATTCGGACCCTAGCCTCCAGTTGTTGTTATTGTCTGCTTATATATATTGCTAGCAATTTACATTCTGGGATGTGCAGTTTGTTGTAGCACCAGAGGCTACGTAGCTCACCAAATTACAAACCCCTGAATGCCATAGCATTGAGCCACAGCAGTTAAAGTAGTGTCGTCAAATTGCATTATTTAAATTGGTGTCAAATTGTATTATTTCTGCATTGCAGATTAAACTTATGTCACCTTGGGTAAGTCACACTTTCTCAGCCTCAGAGGATGGCAATGGCAACTTCACTCTGAAAAAACTTGCCAAGGAAACCCTGTGATAGAATCGCCTTAGGGTCAGCATAGGTCGGAAACTACTTGAAGGCAAACAACACACACATAGTCTGAATTCTAGCCTTTTGAAAGGGAATTTAGCAAAGGGTCTGGGTTCCCCCCTTTTTCACATATCCCTATGTGGAGTGGGGTGGAGAGAAGTTCCCAAGCAGCCACCAGAGTAAGAGGGACTCCCTCTTGCAACTACTTGGAAGTGAAGTTCTACCATCTGAAGCAGCGTCGCCACACACTTACCAGCACACAACACAAGCTTCCTCTGCTCAGAGTATCTGCTCGCCTCCTTTCCTTTCCCTTCCCACCTTCTAAGCTCTATGTCTGGCACGCCTATGCAATACGAATATTATGCAATACCCGAATAGTGAAATGAGAATCCTCTTGCAAAGTTCACAGAATGCACCAGATAGCAGGTAGTGCTGGAGGATTCTGGGAGCTTGTACACCAACAATGGTGTTTCCAAACTCTGCATTTATGTGTTCTGGCAAAAGTAGCTGGGACTGAGAGATTTTCCTCCCTCATTTTATTGACTATGTAGTATGTTTTCATTTGCTTTGACTCAACCAGTTTGATTTCAAATTGACTCAAAGGTTTACTCAAATAGGAAAATATATTTTTCTATCAATTTGTTACAAGATCTTGTATTTCTGCAAAATAAACAGATGAAATGACATGTATAACATTGATCTGACTGCATCTCAATTAATGGGAGCTTTGATTCAGATTTCACTGACTGCATTATGCTACACTACTAAATCCAGGTATGGAACTCCAGCACAGTATATTAGCCTGCCTGCTTACCTGCTTTGCAGTTTCCCAAGTCTGGACCTAAACAGATGTACAGGATACCACAGTCCAACCCTGTGGTATCCTGCCTGTGGTTCCAATCCATTTCAGAGGCCAGTATGGTGACAGGTGGCTGTTCACATTCTCATGCCCTTTATCTGCTGCCATCATTGCATCCACTCTAAAGCCCTCTGCCATGGCCCATAAGAACAGAAACAAAGTACCTGGTTTCACCCACCTGGACAAGTGCTCCCTTCCCATGTCACAGGTTGTGGTGGGGGACTTCAGAGTGGACACAGACATGGCAGCAGGTAAGGGGTGTGGGGTCTATGTGGTCTGCCAGCCTTCATGGCAGAATTTCCAGGAAATTGCTGCAAACAGCCAGTCTGGGGATTGCATTAAGGGCCCTTTGGGCCAGAGACCACCAGATCAGCATCTGGACTGGCCGATTCCAGCCTGTGGCTAAGGGCCTATATTATCCATATGGGATGACTCCAGACTGGGCTGAACATGGGCCTTTGGGGCCATGCATTCAGCCCCCAAAAGTGATTTTGTGTTTAGTAAGCTTTGGCTATTTTGACTAGATGTAGTTTTCCTACACAAGTCCTTTACATCACCTGGCATCTGATCTTTTTTAATAGAAGATTCCAGGAACTGAACCTGGGATATCCAGAAAGCAAATCAAATGCAACTGAACATGTCATTGTATAAACTATGGTCCCCTCCTTTGAGTCTGCTTCTACCCCCCTCCCTGCCACCACCATCTCAACCACTCCCTCTTCCTGCTGGCTAGTAGTTATTCTGCTCTCATCTTGGGGTAAATGCTGAGCAAGCCCTTCCTTTAATCAGAGGAAATACAAACTGTCAATTGCATCTGTCAGTTCCAAGAAAAAGAGCAGTTTTCTGCAATCATATATATAAAGCCTTCTTGATTTTTTTTTCTTACAAAATGTTTGGCTGCTTTTCATGGCAGCTGCTTCTTAGGAATAAACACTCAAAATTGCCCAGTATCTTGGTCATCATTCAGACACTGCAGATCTAGGGAGAGTGTGGGGAAATAGTGTCTTATATGCCATTTGAACAAAAATAAGCCTACAATTTTGTCTGCTGAGAGGCCTTGAATGGTGCTTGTGTGTAGAAAAAAGCTACCCAGACATTTATGACTTTTGTTCCATCTTCCACAGATGGAAGGCAATGTCAAGCTGGAAACTGCTAGCACATTTTTATAGAGTT